TTATCACACATCAAAACTATCATTATTTGTTTTTCATTTCTATCATTTGGGTAGTTTTCTATTTTTTTTTTTAACGGCACGGTCAGTAATCTTGAAAAGTGGAAACTTTATTCGCCTGAGTAACTATAATAATATAGAAACCAGAATTCAAAGTTATTCGACGACTCATAGATTAATTGACAATACTCTTTTTTCACCGCATATTTTGTCCTGTGTTATTTTTTTCAAAAGGAAATTTAAATGGAAACAATTCAATGAAACTTTCACCTTGGATAGTTTTAGCATTGTGAAAGTTTACATAAAAAAAATAATAAAACCTGTAACGTTTTAAGTAATACTTAGAATTTAGTTCACTGAAAACTTGGAAATTGAATAATTATGTGATATTTATGTAGATTGACGAATTTTACAGCTGGACGAAAATAACTTTAAGGGTCATTAAATTTATTTGATTATGACATTATGAAACAGAATTATCATAAAGTGTGCTCGTGTACACCGACTAGCTCATAGTGCATAATAATACGAATTGTATGTACTTGTCTCAATATTAATACGAAGTAGTTTTTTATTTAATTTACAATAGATTACATACTTCAATATTTATTAATGGTAAAACAAAAATATTTTGTTTAATAACACAAAAAAGATTCCGCTGGCTGAAGAAAGAAATAACTGTTTCTATTACGACATTGTTATGTTTTAAGTCGGTAGTTATCATCATTGTACAAAACCGTAACAGTATAACATGGGTACTGCATTTATGTATATATCGTTGTACAATTAGTACACACCGATGTACCAGAATTGCCTATAAAATGCGCCGTTATACCGAAACTAAAAAAAAACCGTCGGTTTATTGTAACTATACATGTACAACGCGTAGCAGATATTGTTTAATATTCTAAGTTTTGGCCTGGTTATATTGTTAATTGATTCAGTCATTAAAATATTAAAGTTTCAATACTTATGCTTATTGCGCGAACCTACAAAAAAAAGGTAAAATTTGTACATTATTTCTGTAAGCTTCTACCTACATGTTCAATTCCCCCGTGGCCTGTATATTTAAAGTGGTGCAGTAAGTGAACCGGCAAATAATGTAAAACGTCAAATATATGTATCACTTGGCTTTTACTATCGTTGATATAATTGATATAATAATATTTTTTTGGTTGAATATTTAGGTCATTGACTATAATAACAAAATTTAATTTAATGTGAGTTATACAACATGATCTTGTATAGTTTTATTATACGAATCTAGTAGTCAGTAGAATATATTATAATAAGTCATACTATTAATTCACATACACATTTTGTAAAATATTGGAAGCACACGGATATAGGGGATTTATTTTTTTAAACCAACTAAAATAACATCCTAGTTTTAGTATTTTAAAATATATATCGAGTGAGAAATGAATGTTTAGTAAAATAATTAAAATAAACAAAGTATAAACTATGTTATAGTAAATCTCAAGCAAAATAAATGTATAGAATGTTTTTTTTGTACACCAACACACACTTATACATATACTTATATATGTTGAGCATACGCCTCAGGGTATTTTGAATTTGTGTTTCTTCCTCATTCGTATCATGTAGACGGTAAGTCTTTGTCAGCAGTTACCTCACATAATGATTTTGTGTTTTCTACATCAAAACTTTTTTTTTTAGACGTATTTCCGTTTGTTTGACTAATTATATATTAAGCAACGGCAATATAGTAGTTTTATAGAAAAGCAAACACAACCACGCATGATTAGGGCCCATTTAGGAATTAAGTTGCCTCTAAGAGTTTCCGAATATTACATTTAAGAACATGACCCAAATCGGGGTTTATATATCTTATAACTTGGACGTTTACAAATATGACTAGTCAGTATCGACTTGCCTTAGGGTAATATGGCTATGTTTTCTTTGAAAGATTTCAAAACTAGAGAGATTCATTTTGTTTGTTTTTGGATACATGTGTTTGGCGATTAATATATGATACTCAAACATATTTTAAGAATATTTATCTTTCAAGTAAATACAAATTACAAATTCATCATATATATCATACATGTTATACAATACGCATACGTGGTGTGTTATACAGTACTTTAAAGAAATATAAAATTATCATTTTGGTTTACACATATTAGAGTGTTAAACAACGACATATTTAAAGATAATAATAATAATGCGTTAACATTGTACAACCGAGGGACACATTAAAATCTAATATTACAATAAGATATCAAAATTCTAGCAACTAAGCTTGTTCTTAAAAAAATAAAAGATTTATAATATTATAGTTATTTATAGTTTTTCTTTTAAAGTTTTATTATTTTTTATCATTCAAAAGACTTGTAGAAAATAAACAACACGAATATTTTTGAGAATCAATGAAAACGGACATAAAATGAAAAAATGAACTATGTTTACTTACCAGTTATGAAAATGATACCCATTTAGATTAAAAAATTGTTGATGTTGAAGTAAATCCCTTAACGTCAACAAAGAGTGAATTACTTTTATTACTCGTTATTATGTTTTCTTAACACTTTTCTGATTATAATTAAGAAGATAAAATCATTTATTTGAAGGCCGAAAAAAAGTACAACGAAATATAAAACATTTTGTACTACATATTTTTAAAATAATTAGTTTTCGAAAAGTTTTCCATTTTCTAAATGGCAAAACTGTTTTACACTTTTACAGAAGCCCTCGTAACATATTAAAAATAACAAAGGCGTTGAAGTGGGAAACAGGAAACTATAAATTACTCAATATTGACTAAAAAACGACTTTCAACGTAGTGTAATTTTACGAGGCTGTAGATCCACATTGGTTTCAATTTTTGTATATAATATTATACATTATTTTAAATTTATGGCCAATATAATATGGTTGTCGGGATAATATAAAAGTAATAACATAATTAAAATCATGTTTTGTATATAAGCTAAAATAGTAGGTATAATAATAAATATGTTACAGCAATAAAATGAAAAGGTTATACCATATAACAGTACAATTAACTGTGTAGTCATTGATGATTTTAAAGACTATTTGGTGACAATAATGAAAAAATTCAATGAAACTTCCATATTAAGTTGTAATTAACTATCAAGTATAAGCAAAATGATAAATCGAAAGTTAAATAATTTCGTTTAAGAATTGTATAATAAGTTTTCATTTTTATGTATCAACATTAGCATAATATGTATAAAATATTGTATCGCTATATTTAATCTAAGATATTAGTTGTATAAAAATGTTAATAATTGGACATTTAATCAATAATATTGGCATAAATAATGATAATCATATCCTCGTTAAAGCGAACATTTTGAATGACATTATTATTTCGCGTAGAGGTAAAAAATTTTAATAATAATTCAAACGTTTGGTATTTATTTTTATTTTTACCAAACACAAACAACAATTTTTAGGCGAACAACCAATAAAAGTTTTAATTACTATTTTTTTTAGCTTCGATGCGGTGCTAATTTTATTGTTAAAGTTTGCCTTACATGAAATATTCGTACGAATAGCAAAATAACACTAGAATATAATATTTATTTATATATGTATAGAATAATTTATATTAACTTTATGGGTTTTTCGAGACCGTGTTGTTTTTAGTTTAGTCATAAAAAATAGCTTACTGAATTTGAGAGATTTACCAAACATTATGAAGTAAAATGTCGACGTATAGGTACATGGGTATAGGACTAGTAGTCAATGACCAAGCTGTTGACTGGTGTCAATGACGCATTAAATTATCCTGTCAATGAGTTGGCATTATACTAGTTCCTAACATGCTTGTCAACTACAATGCTATAATACTAGAAAATGATTGTAATTTATTATTAGTATTTTCTAGCGTAGCTTAATGGAAAAACTATGCATTAGAATTATAGGTGCACATAATCACCACGATCAAATATTTTAACATGATTATTATGGTACAATAGAATTATGATATGATATTATTAAACTGTAACCATTTAGTTATAGTTTAACATTTATTTCCATCGCTTTAAAACAGAAATACAATTATAACACATGACTCAATAAAATCGAGTAAGTATAATAGTAATATTAATGTCTACGCAAGTGAATTAGATTGATCCTCAGGTTAAAAACATATCTATGTTAATATATACTACATAGATTGATATATGATAGATACATGTAAAAACTACATAGATTTCTAGCTGAAAACAATTTAATTTTAGTATAGATTAGACTCGAGAAAATATCTGCTAATATAATTGTATAATATATACAATATAAGAATTCAAATTGTGAATTAGATTAATGTTTGTTGTTCTGACAGTCATGGATAGTTTTTTTTTGTTTTACTGTCCAATGATAAAAACCCGTTAGTTTTGATGGTTTTATAAGAATTATAGGTCTTAGTATTTTGTAATTTGTTCGGGAAAAATTAATTTTAGTTGTAATACAACTCTACTGACAAATTATCTCAATTTTTGTTTTCCTCCTAATTTGTTTATTCCGCGAAAATTTATGAAAATGTATTAATCATTCGTATAAGAGTTGGAGAATTTTCAACATTTTTTAATGTAAAAATAACGAAAATAAATAGCTTAAAAACTCGTAATTTATACAAAGATATGATATGGAATAGGCAACGAGATAATCCAATATACAATTTTTTTGTAGAAATAATAAAAATGTTAAGCTTTAATTGAAAGAAATGTGTGTAGTTGTTGGAATTACTGACAAAATACCAATTGTTTGTAATTTCTAAAAACAAAGTTATAAACAATAATACCTGAGGATATTTGCCAATATTTAAGATAGAAGTGCCGTTTAACCAGGAAATCGATAACGACAAAAAAAAATGTTATTTTAATAACACAATTTAAGTAATTTTGTTTTGTAAACAAAATAAAAATAAATAGATATCCGCATGTATGATTTTTCCGGTTTTTAATGAAAATATTAATGCCAGACAACGCAAACTAACATAATATATTTTTTAGGTTGGGAGCTAAAGGCACGCTGTGGCATCCTTGAATACGACGAACTAGTTAAGTTTGAGAGGTAATTGTTCTTGTTTGCTATTTTAGAATAATTATTGTTTTAAAAGTGGTTTTTGTCGTTTGCATTCGTTTCCGTAACTGGCTCATGTTTGTTGACAGAAAAACATATACCTACTTTGCAGACGCCACTTTGCTGACTGGAGTGCAGGAAATCACCGAGAAATAATATGGTTTGACACAATATATAGCAAAATTAATTATTGAGAAATAATCAAATCACTAGACTGAAGAAGCACTTAGGCCTAGGGGTAAGGATTAAGCCCGGGAACGTGTTTTGTCTAAATTAGCTAATAGACGGTGTAGACGTAACGCAATCCGTCAAACTTGGATGACCTCATGCCATAGCTTGAAAACCCCAATAACCTTACTCACCGAAACTTCCATTTTTGAGAATCTTAAATTAGCGTCAGATGTAACGAGCAAACCGTGCACTGTAGATTGATTACTATTATTATATCGCCAGTAATGGTAAAATGTGATACCTAATTATATTTTATAAGTACAATAAAAATACTGTGGTTGAAGGCTAATAAGTGATAATAGTGCCAAAGTTAGGCGATTTTGATTTTATATGTGGTATAAAATACCGCATCGAAGCTAAAAAATTACAGCAACAGTACTTGATGTTAATTAATTTATATTAATAACAAAATATCTCAGCAACGTTATGCGTCATTTCCAAAATCCATATAAAATATTAGGTATTAAAGTTTATAACACTACAGTGGTTTGGTATACAATTGGATTTTACCCAATGCGAATACATGTTAATAACTAATAAAAAATGGTATATTTCAAAATAGTAAAGCGCAAAATATCGAAACTTATATTGGTTTTAACTTTTATGTAAACTGATATTGGTTTTAAGGTACGCGGTTTTATACATAATAATATAAATGTTTTTGATGTTGTATAAACAATATAAGCACATTGTATATTCTTTAAGCCATTGCTGTTCATGTGAAGCAAACGACCGTTTAAAATGGGTTATTGTAACTAATAAAAAACGAGGGGAAAAGGGAGATAAGAGAAACAATCAAATAAAAAAAAAGAGCAGTGTAATTTTTAAACTACTACTAAAACTTTTATAAAATATATTTTTTATTGCTGTATGTTAAATTGCTTCCTTTATGACGTTTCTTTTACATTATTATTCATACAAACAAAATTGCTTACTTATTAGGTACGCATCACGTCTTCTTTTTTTATTCAACGTTATTATTAGGTTATTATATATTTTAAAGTGTTTCGCCTCTCTCTAGAACGTCCAATATTAGTTAACAGATATTTACAAGTTTTTGAAGAATCAAGTAAGTTTTTTTTCGTCTGTTTAACGTAAAAGAATTGTTTTATATATTTTTTTCGCTATAAAACTTAGGTGCTGATGTAAAAAGGCTCTGTGTAGGGTTTTATTTTATAATAAGCTACGATAAACCTTGTGTAATAAAATATTTCGCCGTATAATAAATCACACTAATAGTAAATTTGAAAATTAAATAGAGAAAAGATATTTAAATATAAACTACATAATTGCAATAAATTTGTTTATTAAAATTAGTTTTTTTATTTAAAAAAATAAAATAAAACGTCCTGGTAAAATGCTATATGATATTTGATATACATGTATTTTGACATGTTTCGTTTAATTTTTTTTAAATAATAAAACTAAAATTATACAGTTTTTCAGATTGCAAAAAAAATAATTTTCATTACTAAAAAAAAAAAAATAAAAATAAATCTCAGCCATTCTCTATATTAGACGAAAATATTTGATTTGAGTTTCTGATTTTACGTCTCAAAATTTCATAATTTTAGAACTGGTCGAAATTGGTTTTTTGTGAAAAAAATAACCTTTATTTTACGGGTAAATATGGGTGATAAGTATAAAAAAAATAAAGGTCTTGTATTAGACCAAAATAAGTTTTAAAAAATAATTTCGAAAAATTTTGAGGAGGTCGGGCCGATGACCGCGTGGTTTGACTTAGAATATATCTAAAACACCTACGCAAAGGGTAGTAAGTACAGTGATAGGTTAATTACAATAACAGTAAATACATAAACAATATATAAAAGGGTACAAAATTCAATGTAGAACATAATTCTTTTAAACTAAGTTTTTTAATTTTACAATATTAGGTTAGGTGCTATAGTAGAACTGGCGGGTGTAGTAATGCAGGGTTAGCTCGAGAATTAAAAGAGGGGATTCTTAATTCAATTTTTCAGAGAAACTCAGGACAGTTAAATAACCCATAGGGACCTATGTTTTATCAAAAATAAATCTATATCCCCTGATATCTTATCATATGTAAGAAGATAATATTAGTATTATACAAATTCCATGATACACAAGTAAAACTTTATTTTATTCCTAAATTTTTTCCATATTTTTTTAACAAATTTGCATGTTGGTTCTTGGATCTCTATGTAATATAATCCATTCTTATAGGTCTATGGCTATTACACGTGCACTAATCGTTTCGATTCCGACACAGTGCGAATATTTCTCTCGGTGTTGCAAATTCTGAGACTACAACTAAGGACCCACTCCATGGGAAATTACTTCAACGAACTTGTTCCGCAATTTAACTAAATTGATAGTACTCTAAGCTACCAACATCTACTTACGGTTCCCCTCCCAGTCTGGGCAATTCAGCGATAAAAAAAAAAGGTACCAACACACAGTGAAAACCGTTGCCAATGGTCATAGTGCCGTCGCAACAACCTAGCCTTCGGAATTGAGGCAAGGAAAAAAATAAAACTTTTTAGATTGATTTGATATTTTAAAACCAATAAGGCCTTTCTGCAAAAAACAATTTTCCGGTAGATGGCAGATCCTATTTTGTTTTGGCACTGACACTTTAATAATTACTTTTACTGACAAAATGGCCTAACTCAGCAATAATCCTATTATCTATGGTTTTAAACGCACATGGCTGTACGTATGAAAGTGATTTCCTTGTTTTGAAAAAGTTAAGAAAAAAAAATAAAGTTGAAAATAGTCAAGACTTTGATCGCTCTTTGGACTGTGTCCATCTCCGAAAAATACACTTTTGTAGCTTAAGCTGTTTTTGGAGTAATGCGCCTCGATTTATACATCTAGTACAAGAGCGTAAGAGCCTCCGGATATTATATTTTGTCTCACACAAAAATTTGTTGGTAACATTATATACACTCATACGTTATCATAACAGACAATTGAATTAAGGTGTAAATTGTATTATCAAGAACATCTGGGTTTATTTTAAAACAACATAACGCACCGCCGGCTGATTAGTTTTTGCTTCGAGAAAAGTACTTATGTTTTGCATGGCTTATATGAACAAACCAATACCGACATATTATTATAATATACAGTGAGACAATTTAAGCTTTTAAAAACAGTGTACGGTTTTTATGAAAAGGGGCCCAAATCAATTTTTGTCATTTTTTTTTTATACATTTTGTGTGAAATTTTACGCTCGCTCATAAAGTCACAATGTTATTCACACATGGAGTTTTGTTATCACAGTATTTTGTAATGCGTTTGGTCATAAGTCAAAAACAATTATTTTTTTTTTGTGCAAATCAAGTCCTAAAAAAGTTAAAAAATAACTTGTATGCCTTCTTATAAGAAACGTCCAACTATATCTAAACGAGTTGTAGAAATATCCTACTAATAATCCATAATACTCTAGAAAAAACTTTAGCAACTTATTAACCTATAATAATTTTCGTCATTAAAAATTAAAAAAAAATCACAAGTACAATATTGACAGTTAATCGTTCATGTTTGCTATTTAGGCATTCAAATAAGTATTATATTCATAAGTATAATATGTATATGTATATAAAAAACGTGTTAATTTTTTTTTTAATTGTATGGAAAATTCGTTTGTAGCGTAATGTTGTAATATTATAATCTTTCTTTAAATTCATGTGCCGTGTTTAAATAATTGTAGTTCGACTGACGTTGCATAACAGAAATAAAAACAATTTAATAAGTGAAACATTTCTGATTAATTAGCGGTCATTTTAGGTTCGTCGGAAGTGTAAACCCGCGTTTACACTGTAATTAAGTAGTTTGTAAAGCTTTTCATTAATTACGTATATCTTTATGCTTTGTTTACGCCATTAGATGTATTACCTATTAATATTAATTAATAGAAAAAATAATACATTTATAACATATAATATATAATATATCCTCTGTTATTTAAATTGAAACTAACTAAAATTATAATTTTAATTAGTTGTCGCTGGTTACCTAACTCATACATTATTTGTGTTGTAAAATGAATACCAAATTACATAATAATATTATCTTTTATAAAAGTCATTGCAAATTGCAATGCCTACTCGAGAAAACATAGCAGATAAAACGCTCAATCAATACTCTAACGAACGATAGTGTGATAAAACGATAAACAGAAATTACTACCTAAATCTTTAATACTACCAATGTAGACTATTTGCTAAATAAAATAATATTTATATGTATAGATTTTAAGCCGGTAATTCTTCTTGTAAAAAATGTAAAATAAAATTATAAATATTGTTTTAAATTAATTAACTAGAATGATTTTCAAGCATATTGCACATCAAGGATATAATTATAACTTATAATGGATACCTAAATTAAAACAAATATCTATTACTGAATAAAGATTTCTGAAATGTATGTAACATGAAATTATTAACAATATCAGATGTGCATTGCAATTAAATTTGTCAACAATGGAGTCTAAATGTTGAGTGAGTAAATCAAGCGCAGTGTCCCGTTTAGTAGTTTTAAGGGAGAATAGGATCCAAAAAATATTTCTGGGAATAATAATTTCAGAATGACGTACAAGTGAGAGATAATAGTGTAGTGCACTCAATTTTACACAAAGAACTAAAACCAGGATTTTGTTAGTATCTCGTAAACACAACACAAACAGCTTTGAAGTTTGAACACACGGAAAATGTACTCAAAAGGGTACTTATTCACACTAGACTTGATGGTTTACGATAAAGCGGTACCTCGGTCACAGTTCAATGTATATATATATATATATATATATATATATATTTGAATATACTGAAGCAAAGAAAAGGGACTGTTAGGCGAACGGTTTACCGGTCGGGCACTTACAAGTGCTAGCGTTTGAGCTCAATTATTACTTAAGATCGAAACGCATAATATATAATGGCCACCGTTCGCTGAAAATTAAAGGCTTAAGATTTCGGCGATGGAGAACTGCTCTGAGTCGACGAGCTTTAGATCGATTAACATATTAATACGTTGGAGTAAACTCGACAACGATCAAAATGTTAAAAAAAACAAATGTATTATGTATTATTGTAACCAAGTGTTATAGTTAATAACGGATAACCTTAGTTGGTTGCTAAGGTTACACTATAATATAATGATGGTTTTAATTGTTATTCTTTTACAGTGCGTGTAAACAGAGCTTCCACGTTTTACGATAATATATCCGATTCCATCAAAATCCTTTCGCAAACTCCAAGTAAAATATCGCCAAGAAAAAAATTATTTAAGTTAGAAAAGTTGTGATACCAATTTAGAGTCTATTAAGTTGTTTGATATTATATAGACTCTAATTTGGTTAGTCTAATTAATATATCCACTAGTATAACC